GATAATCTAAAATATCTCAAATCAATCTGATGTTATTATGTATTGGTCTGCCTTTTTTCTATTTGCATGTGTTTTTCATTTACAGCGCGTTGAGCTCTCTCGGCCACCGTAGAAATCTCATTCTTTTTACAAAATAAACACACACGCACATATTTTAGAAAAATAATGATAAAATGTAAGTATCAACAACAACAAAAAAAGACTACAACTAAGAGCTTTGATAAAACCAAGCATTTGTAAAACTAAGCATTTCAATTTTTATAATTGTCTGGGTGTTACAAAATCAGTAGGCGACAAAATTTTTTATTTTTTATTTTTTAGTAGGCTACATCTCTATGCACGAGAAAAGGACAGATCAATTTGCAATATTCATAACTACAAGATGAAAAGGCTTATGTGCCTGAATAATTTAAGGATAATTGTATTAATTGCCATTATTTGGGACTTGATTAATGACGTCACTTGAACCTGAAGGCTACGGCTGCAATTTTTCATTATTCCACAAGATTGCACCAGAGCCTAAATAAATAAATAAATGCCACGCTTGGTTTGAGTATTTTCTCTGTGATGGCACATTTAAGTAGAGTTATTTTCGTAATAATCTCGTTTAAGAAAATGACCGACAACCGTAACATTTGTCATTGCGAGAAAGACAAATGAAAGGAACATCCAAAGAAACTGTGTCAATTATTCTTTCGAGTTGAATGGATGTTGTTGCCACACTGCCTACGAGAAACATGCAGTGACATGCTCTGGATACACAAAAGACAGCAGTTAAATTGTGGGAGACTGATGTGCAGGTAGACCTTTGCCCCTCTGGGTTTTGTTGACGCCTTTTAAAACTCCTCCCCTTTCACTCACGGAGAAGAGCAAATGGGTGGTTTAACATGGCCGCAGTGCTCAGGGGTGCCGAAGTTCAACTAATACTTAGATCTTGAGTGTAAATACAGTAAGCGGCTAGATATATAGTTAATAGGAGGCTGTTACCATTTAAAGGAGCTCTGATAGCTCCTCCAGTATTTTCCCTATGAGTCGAGTCTGGATTTACCTGTTCCCTGCGCTATGTGCGCTTGTCTTGCCAGGTGAGTTTCCTACTTCCTGTATCCACCTTTGATTTCGAAATAAATATAAAATGTTTGATTAACTTATTTTCTATTACATATTTAATTTAATGGATCATTATTTGTGGTGTTTGGCAGATTCTTTTCCTGCTACGTTTGGCAATTTGAGACCACTGTGGTCACATTATAGCTACTTTCGGTAGTCTCAGAGTTACGTAAATCTTCAACAAGCTAGTATGGTTTAATCACTACCCATTTTTATTGTTTTTCTGCGGAACTTATCAGACGCTTATCAGATTTACACTGTGGTGCCGTTCATAAAATCAGATTATACAAGATTAGATTGATCCTCAGGGGGTTAATGCAGGCATTACAGCAGCTTGAAGTGGATAGCAGGTGTAGTAAGAAAGATTAACGATATGGGTAGATAAAACTAGGTAGAAACAATTTGAATGAATGGAATGTATTTTTAATGAAAATAAAATCTAAAATGAAATACACACAAATATACTACTCTCAATGTATTAATAAATAGCCTATAGGTAGGCCTACTACTGCAGTGAGTAGAGAGTGACCTGAAACAGATTTAATGGGTGGAACGGCTGCAGTCTCAGTTTAAGCAGAGTTAAACACACTGATCTCAGCAGGACCTGTGAAAGCTTTACCTTAATGCTTAATAATAAGTTCAGGGTATTTAGTGCAGAACAGGTCAGTGCAGCAATAGTTCCATGTGACTGAATGATGCTGTATGTGCTGCTGATTCATTATTGCCAACATGTATTACTGTAAAAATGGTTCAGATTGTTGTGACTAATTGTTAGCTGGAAGGACTGGAGATCAACTAACTGTTTAAAAAGTTAAAAACCTCACAAGATTGCACCGAATATTTTTATGCCTATTCAGTTGTGTGTAAGGGTTGGGATTTAACATGATTGTCAGAACATGGCATGTACACTAGACGATGTAGTTCATGTAGATATTTAGATGCAGTTTTTGTCATCTGTGTTTTTTACATTTCTATATACAGTGTTAATAAAAGAAAATGGCTTAATGGTTATGTGACTTTCATGTGAGTGGTTTTGCTTGGTAACATCTGATTGAACTGTTCTGATGACTGACTGTAAATTAGATCAGGTCTGATAAGAGAGTTATTACATGAATGTGTCCACGACAAGTATCTATATATCTGTCATGAACTTTGAGATAACATTATGGTTCTCTCTTTCAATGTTTGGTTGAAGGCCACAGAGAATGTACATTGTAGTGCCGAGTTTAGGGTGAGAGAATATAAATGTTGTTGGAATGACCTGTTTGTGTCACTTCTCGTAGTAACATGTTAATCCATGGTTACCAGGTGTACATCAGGTGGAGGGAATTGAGGTGCTTACGTCCTCAGAGTTGGAGGCAGTTAATGGGACAGATGTACGGCTCAAATGTACATTTAAATCTACCCATCCGCTGTCTGAAGAAAGTGTCTCTGTATCCTGGAGCTTCCGACCACTCGGAAAGATGTCTGAAGAATCGGTGAGACTGAATGGGTGTTGCTGAGTTAATGTATCTGAAAGTCTTTATTTACTACTGGGTGAAATGAGGCTTGGTTCAGGAAATGCACTCTTAAAACACTGTTCAAAAGTCTTCAATACAATGTTCCTTCTGCCCCCTTTCTCTCTCTCATTCCTTTCTTTCACTTTTTTTTAAAACCCCAATTCCAACCTAATTTCAGTGGGTCATAGTCATTCCTTTCTGTTTAACTTTGAACTATTCACTCTCTTTTTTACTCTGTCAGATTTTTCTTTACCACGGACATGCATATCCCCCACAAGATGGCAAATTTAAGGATCATGCTGTATGGTCTGGTAATGTAATGAAGGGTGACGCATCCATCACGCTGCAGAATGTGCAGTCCAGCTTTAATGGTACCTACAGCTGCCAAGTCCGAAATACGCCCGACTTCCAGGGCTTTGCAGGCGAGATCAGCCTCAGAGTTGTTCAAAAAGGTAAGAGCAGATGCTGTGACACCTGTTTGAAAAATCATTTACTTACCCTTCTAAACCCGTATGGCAGTGGAGGTGAAGGTTGAATGAGCAGGATATTGTGTTCTTTCTTTGATCCCAGCAGCTGAAGGACAGAAGTATCTAATAAACTGGGCTAGAATAGCAGACAGTCTTCTCTGAGAGTGTTATGGTACAGACAACAAGAGTGTAAGATAAACAATAGAGAGTGATATTCTGGCCATTCTCTGATAAAGGTTCACATCCTGTTATTTGGACAGATTTTCTCACCCTTCATTTCGGTTTAAAGTAGGGGTGTGCACAAATAGTGGAATATTCGATCTGTAATTATTATTCGAAAAATAAAAACCCTATTCTAATTTTACTTCGTGTTGCTTTGCTGGCAGAGTGGTAGTAAATGCAAGGATTCCATGATCAATCCGAAGCACGCAAACTAAAAGTCAGTTATAACTAAATGCACTGGGTGG